GTTTATCAAGAGCAATGGAGTACAAAAGCTTTAAAGAGTACATGTTCTCTACTGCTGTGAATAACCTCACAAATTGGCTGAGCTCTATGGGAAACCTCAGCGTGTTTGCTTAGGGTCATTTGAAGTGCAAATAGTCATAAGTATTCATGACAGAGAGTTTTATTTTTTGTGAAATAAACAAGATGAAATGCATTATATTGCACTCACTGAAGAACTATGTATTCTACTAGTATTGGGTTGACAGATTTTTGCATACAGAAATGCCGTAACCCCCATTTAAATTTAACCTTCAGCCACAAAAATGGGAATTCTTACACTAAAGTAACCTGAAACCTTTTTGTGAGATTTTTATGTAATTACACTGGTTTCCCACAGTTAAGACGATGAATAAGCTTCTAATAATAAGCTCTCAGTGTTCTTTCTGACAGGCTGAAGGGATTCTTTGCAAACCTTTCAAACTGAAGAAACTGAACTGCAGGAGAAACTCTGAGACATGGTGGTCTGCCATAGGACATGTTTTTCTGCTGGATAAATTGAAGGAGTGGCACCTTTATAATAAATCTCCAGATCACATGCCTCCAGCAAGGAACAAATTAAAAGGAAAAACAAACAGAACTGTAACATCAGAACCATCTCCCATAACCTCAGCCCTCTCCAATTTTCACAGAATCATTTAGGTTGGAAAAGACCTTTAAGATCATTGAGTCCAGCCATTAACCTAGCACTGCCAACTCCACCACTAAACCATGTCCGTAAGCACCACATCTACCCAGCTTTTAAATACCTCCAGGGATGGTGGCTCCACCACTTCCCTGGGCAGCCTGTTCCAGTGTTTGATAACCATTTTGGTGAAGAAATTTTTCCTAATATCCAATCTAAACCTCCCCTGGTGCAGCCTGAGGCCATTTCTTCTTGTTCTATCACTCGTTACTTGGGAGAGGAGACCGACACTCACCGTGCTCAACATTCATCAAAGCAGTTGTTTCACTTTTGAACTGTAAGTGTACCTGAAATTTTTTTATAGATTAAAACTGAATTTTGAAAAGGCAATCTTTGAGAAAGTTTCACTAGAAAACATTAGTACAGCTGTAAAATACACACATTTCATTTTATGAAGATAAATCTACACATGCATATAATTTAAATGTTTTATAATGTATTACATATTGCATATTTATATTGCTAGATAACAATATATAAAACAGAGAAATAGGAATGTATTTATGTTGTATTTATGTGCACATTACTTGTATCCAGATCTTTCTGAAAGGAAACTTGATGCTGGTAAGATTTATGTGTATGTTTGATCAGTTTAGCATATCTGCTAGTGTTTTGGAATATGGAAATTTCAACTTTTCTTCTAGAATCAACAAGAATTAACTTAAAAGCATGAACACTTTTTTTTCTTCCTACTGTACGAACAATAGTGATTTAGATAGACATTTCTGCCCTCGTTGGTTTTATTTTCTTGACAGAAGACAAAGCTTACTGGTATGACAGCTTGCTGATGACACTGTATTATTCAACATAATAGGAACAGAGCTAACTGAAAAACTGCAGAAGGGCATTATGGGATTGAGCAACTGGCAAATACAGCACTCAATGAAATTCAATGGAGATAAATGTAAAAGAACATGCAGAGGAAAAACTCTTAATTTCACATCTCAAATAACAGACTTTGAACTGACCATCATTCAAGAATAAGATCTCAAAGCTATGACAGATATTTCTATAAAAATGTCAGTGGTGGTTAAAAAAGCAAATCAAACAGCATGCAGCTCACGAAAGAGTAGGAAGATGGAACGGGTTTCATGTAAGGGATCGCTGAGTAGACCGGGAAGAGAGAACTGGAAGGGAATCTGTAACAGCGACCTTGATGAGGACCAGTTGTTTGTTGTCTGTTCCAGTAGAGGGACTGGGGACATCAAATGAAGCTATAGGAATCAGGTTCAAAAGAAAAAAAAAAGGAAAGGGTCCTTTAGACAATGGCTATTTGTGCTCTTGCCAAAGGATGTTGCAGATAATGAAAGTTTAAAGGGGTCAATGGGAAACAGAACAAGTTTATGCAAGATGAATCAGCTTTATTTACTTATCCTTGTTTAAAGATTTCCTAATTCATCATTATTTATGTTCTGCCTTTCTTTCTTTCAGTGGACCATGACAAGCCTCTTAAGACATTCTCTTAAATGCCATACAGTTGATTTCCAAACAGACTGACAGAGTGCCATGCTAAATAAATACTTCTCTGTGCAATTATCCTAATTGCTAATAATTCCATCATACTGCCTGGAAAAAATGTTGATAGCTGCTCTAAGCTAGCAATGACACCTTGATTGCAAGGAATGTGTCCTTACATTTACTCACAAGTCAGCAGGTGATATTATTAGCATAAATAAAAGATAAACGTGCAAATATTTGCAAGAATAAAATTATAAAGTGGCCTCTAATAAAGCTGGCAGCATACCTAATGCATAATTAATGGAGAGTTGTAGTCCATATCATATGAAAATTATTGTTGTGTATCAGTTGTGTGGCTTAACCATGTTAATTTTCTTCCCAGTTTTGCAGACTTGTCGTGGTTTAACTCCAGCCAGCAACTGATCATCACACAACTGCTTACTCACTCCCCCTTCAGTGGAGAGAGGGAGAGAACTGGAAAGGTAAAAGTGAGAAAACTCATGGCTTGAGATAAAGACAGTTTACTAGGTAAAGCAAAAGCCACACACACAAGCAAAGCAAAACAAGGAATTCTTTCACTGCTTCCCATCAGCAGGCAGGTGTTCAGCCACATCCAGGAACGCAGGGCTCTATCACACATAATGGTGACTTGGGAAGACAAACGTCATCACTCCAAAAGTCCTCCCTTTCCCTCTTCCCCCAGCCTTATATGCTGAACATGACATCATTTGGTATGGGTTATCCCTTTGGTCAGCTGGGGTCAACTGTCCCAGCTGCGTCCCCTCCCAACTTCTTTTGCACCCCAAGTCTCCTTGCTGGTGGGGTGGTGTGAGAAGCAGAAAAGGCCTTGACTCTGTGTGAGCACTGTTCAGCAATAACAAAAACATCTCTGCATTATCAACATTGTTTCCAGCACAAATCTGAAACATCACTGTGAAGAAAATTAACTCTACCGCAGCCAAAACCAGAAGATTGTACTGTATTTAGATGGGAGTGATAACAATGAAGTGGCTAAGTGATTTAACTTTGGTTTAGTACACTGTCTTTATAAAATACAACAAATAATGGAGTGAGAAAGCAGTCAGAGACTTTATATCTAGTTTCAAACTACGAGGTGATTTTGAATACGGAACAAGCATACTTCTTACCTAACCATTTAATAGCCAAGATAAGGACCAGGCAATGCTTGTGTGTTTCATTTCTATCCTGGTTTAGTGGGACAGAGTTTTAAAGTCAGTTTCTGTTGAGGAGAACTGAAATTTTGTAAGGACAGTATTTCATGGGAACGTGATAAAACTTTGTAATAGGTTTCAGCTAATACTGGTGTGCAGATTATCACAGTGCTCAAGGTCTTCAGGGTCTTGAGATAAACATGCAGAGGCAGGGGGGAGTGGAAACCTAGGGGAGTCAACCCCAAGGTGACCCCAGGCTGACCAGTTAATGCTATTCATACCATCATTGTCACATTCACTGTAAATCGGGGAGTTTGCTGGGGATGGCCCTTCTTCTCTGCCTCTTCCTCTTGCTCCTTTTTTCCTCCCTCTTCCACAGCTGAAATCTCCAGAGAGCCTTGTTTACCATCCTAACCCTGAGGTCTACTCCCCCACAATACTGGCTGAGTATTAACTCTGTGTATAACTGTTACTAATATTAGTTTATTATTTTATTAAATATATCTCAACACTCGAATCTCCTTTTCTTTTCTTGACTCCCTCCCCAGGTGGGGAGGAGGCATCGGGTGATAGAGCAACTGTATAAACCACGACAATTTCCCACAGCTTCAGCACAGGCGACACCAGCCTAGGGGCAGATTGCACCCGAAAGGCCGGCTCCCTCCTCAGAAGCGCTGGGAAGGCGAGGATGTGTGGATCATAGCTGAGGTCTCTCCTATCCCTGTACTCTACTCTGAGTTCTCCGCTCACCTGTCTCAAGATCAAAATCTTTTCCCGGGACACCCACACAGACCCTTGCTGTTGCCAGCCTCCAGTGGGCCTCTACCC